AAGTCCCATTGTAGTGTGGAATAGTAGCTGCGTATTGATCTGCGACACTTACGATCGTTGCTGTCGTCCGACGGAAGACGACGCGGTCACCCAATGCAAACCCAGACAACACGTGACTGCGCGTGCATGGTATTTCGAAAGTCCCATTGTAGTGTGGAATAGTAGCTGCGTATTGATCTGCGACACTTACGATCGTTGCTGTCGTCCGACAGCAGCGGTCGTAAGTGTCGCACTTCTCGAGATCGATACGCACCCTAATGCTGTGCGACACTTGCGATCGTTGCTGTCGTCCGACCGACTATGCGTGCGGCCTATTGTCGTTTAAGTAAGGAGCATGACAGATCCGCCGTCATGACATTGAAATTCTGCCCGGATAGGTTCGTTTACTGGTCAAAAATCAGCGATTTTATGTTCGCTTTTTTCAACCCTCGAAAAGGTGCATCAGTCTTCTCACGAATGTCGCCCTTGAATGGTGGTAGCGAGACTGTTGTAACTGTTGATGACCAGATTTGCACCACCTTCGTAGAAGTGTAGAGTTACTTTTAGAGATACTGACTGATCAGCACTGAATCGAGCAGCACAAAGTGCTGCAATAAAAAATTTCTCCTCTCAAATCCACAGCACATGCCTTAAACACAATTCCAGTGAGGGGTAAAAGGCCCTTGGAAATGAATGAAATAAGATCTGTTCGGCAGCATCACCAGCATTCTGGTTTACTAATTTGTCTACGAATGATAGGGTATTTCTTAACCTAGCAACAAAAAGTTCCCGTGTCTTGTGAGGAGCACGAGCAGTACTGAGATGAAAGAGGAGAACTTCTGACCCTAGCATGTGAGAAACACTAAAAACAAAACCGCAGGCTGACCCTAACACAAAAGCACGTACCTGTGTCTGAAGACGCGTTAAGCCGCGCACCCACAGTATCTGTCCTGAACGCTTCTCATGCGTATCTGGATCTTCGTAATCAGGCATCAACGGATCATTAGTAGGCGCTTCTCCGGAGCCAATCGTCATGTTCTGTGGAAGGCTGCCCGTCGGAATCGACGTGACCAGCTAAATTTTTCGTTAGAATATTTCTTCAACTGTAGTAATGGCAAAAAGTCGACAAAATTTGTTAGCTAGGTAGAGGATTTCTGTGCTACCACGCTCAAAAGCAGTGCCCAATAAATATGCACGCAAAAAATATAAATTACCTGTCCCCAGAGCAATGTGCCCACACCTAGCGCCATGCACCACAACCATTGTTCGATGTTCAACGCTGCAGTACTGAACCAGCGTCCACCAAATTGCACGATGAGAATTTGAGAGACGAATGTGGCTATCCAAATGATGTAGTAGATCGGATTCAAGAACAAACCCTGCAAATAACCTATTATTAACCGAAAGAGAGGAGGAATCCTTCGGATTCCACACATATCGGGTCCCCCGATAGTACAGCAGCACATGGCCATCGTTGGTAAGCTCAATTTACAACACTCAGTTCTTTTAGGCACATGAAATTATCATTCACAAAGGTTATCTCCTGATCACCCACTCTTCTAAAACGTGGGCCGCGCTCGCAACCCACGTTTTGGGAATAGGGAGATCAGGAGATGGAAAAAAGTAGACATTGAGGAAATATGGTAGTACTGAAAGATCAGAGGTTCACTAGCTTAGTGGATTTAGCTGAAAATATCAGACACGCATTGATTGAATTTTTGGAGACTCCTTATCACCGCCCTCCATCAATATATATCTAATCCTTCCAGCCGGATCTCTCAATTTTCTGAGCTCATGATCCAGGAAACCTTGACCACGAAAGCGCCTGCTTAACCATTCGTCAACCCCCGTCGACTGCTTCACACTTAGGCACCAATACTTCCCTTTCACTTCAGTTTTTCCGAGATTTATCGGCCGCTTCTTTCCTCCACCCCACTTCTTGGTGCTTCTTGCGCATGATTACCACTGATCTGATGGATTGGTTGGGCATGGGAAAAGCAAATTTTGCACAAATGGCCAGATAAGAGTGAGATCCATAGATCAATATCAGTTTTTTTTCAGCGAGCACCTGAGCAAATACTGCTGAAGAGGCATAGATTCGTTTTCGTCACTAGGGTGCACCAATCCATCATCCTTACCTTCCCATAGCGATTGCCACCATCATCCACAGCAGAGGCGCTCTCAGAAGTAGACATAAATCAAGCCGAAAACTCACCGAAAACACGTTTCGCTCTCCGTGGATCTTTCTTGCATTGATCTCATTGAACAATGTCATCAGCACAAATGTGTTGAAAACGATCGTGAAATGAACAGATGGCGGTGAATGAAGAGGAGCCCAACGACCAGATGGAATGTCGAAAATTTTTTCGCCTGAAGATCAAAACTCATCATTTAAATTATTTTGGACTTTCACCCTTGACCGCCCCAGTTTCCCAAGCTGGGCGGATTATTCTCGAAATTTGCCTTTTTGCATAATCTCACTACAAAATACCTTACCCTAACCCCCCTTCCCGAGCTATTCCGACCTGTGGAACAATGTGATCCATTTGGCACGAGTGCGCTTACAAGGAAGGTCTTTCAGGGTGTGCCAAGCTTTTTTCAAAACGGTCTTTTGCATGATATAGAGGCACATGCGGGAACCACAGAACCATGGTTAATTTTTCCTGAACGGCCCTCTGAATACCAGAAAAGGGGGTCCCTAGTCACACCTTTTTCACCAGTTTTTCAATCAAAGTCTATTTGTAAGGGTTACTGACGGTCCTAATCATGAATATGGTACTAATTATTCATGCTAACTCCATTTTGCGCGAATTTTGAAACGTCAACTCGAAATGCAAAAATTTGTCACCACGAGGAATCGAACTAGGGACCCCTTTTCTGGTATTCAGAGGGCCGTTCAGGAAAAATGAACCATGCTTCTGTGGTCCCCATATGTGCCCCAATGTCATGCAAGAAACCATTTTGAAAAAGCTTGGCACCCTGAACCTCCCTTGTTAGTGCAGGCACCACAGGCAAAAGCGGCATCAGCGGCACAAAATTTGTTTAGGGCAGGTGCCTGTCACGCAATTTTAGCCACTTTTGGATAACGAGACAGCACTGCTATTTCCTAAGTTTATTTATCCCTTAGGGTAGGTTCTCAGCAAATTTGATGATTCGACTGGCGCCGATGTCTGTCCAGGCCTTCACCGTCTACGGAATGCAAAAAAATTTCGACAAAGTTAACTCAAGTCTCGAAAAGTAAGGCAGTAAAAGAAAAGTATTAGCAAGTATCCTATTCCCCTCTTCTCAGTTGACTCATTACCACTTCAGAAGAAAATAATGGAAATATAAAAGTCCACCCAAGGTGTCTCACCGCGAAGACTACCGTATTTACTGACATTCGCGATTTTATAAGTGTTGATTCACTTACCATAGAAGATCAGAGTGAAAAGCACAATCAGCTGATAGACTGCATGTCCAAGGATGTTCTTGCTCATCGTGCGTGAAATCAACGGGCTGGTACGACCGTAAGGTTTCCTAAGCATCGAATTCTCGTGAAAAGTTCTCGATCATACATTGCTTGGAAAGCTAACCTCTTCAAAAGTTCTTCAGTAGGCATTTCCGTAGCCAGAGCCAAAGAGGCGAGAGTGTCCATAATAAGATTCACCCAAAGCATTTGTACGGCCTGAAAAACATCACAATTCGACACCGCAGCTGTTAATTTTTTGAGCGTCATTACCTTCAGTGGAGTGTCCTGAATAGCGCAAGCACCGACGAACGCTACAACTACTGCAACCACGTTCACAGTAAGTTGGAATTGGAGGAATTTTGCGATCGAATCATACACGTTACGTCCCCACATCACAGCCTCAAAACAATTTTATTAAGGTAGTATCCCTACACTTCATAACTACAAATACTTTCAAATCAAATTGGAACAGTCACTCACTTTGACAATTGATGTAAAGTTGTCATCGGTGAGGATGATATCAGAAGCCTCTTTTGCCACATCGGTACCGGCGATGCCCTTAACAACAGCAGTTACTCGTTTAATGTTATGAATGCTCACTCTTCATTTTCGAGGGCTGTTCCGATTCCCACGCCATAGTCTCTTGAGGAAGTGAAAGCTTACAGTTTTTCCGTGTGACCTGCACCTTCGAATGGTTTCTTTTTTGGTTCATTTCTAGAATTAACAAATCTCTGCGCGCAGAGTCCCTTCCTCGTTGGTTTTTTGCGGAAAGAGCTAGTGCTTCGTTTGCTTTGCTCCGCATACACCTTCCCCACAAGAATCATCACATCAAAAAGGGCAACATCTGTGGTGAGGTCAGGGGCTGTTAGGTATGCTTCCCTAGACAAGAGAGGTATCCCATCCTGGTAAGGTATGCTCCCACCAAAACCTCTCATGGTCAGGGAAAAGCCATGCCATCGTTTCTCAAGGATGCCTCCCGGTTGCATGTCAATCACGAAATATTTTTCGATTGCATGTCAACAGCGGAGACCCGGAAAACCTGTAGAGTGGCCTTTTCACCCGAGAGCTTTCGGGGGAGCATACCTTACCAGGATGGGATCCTTCTCCTGCACGGGGAAGCATACCTAACGGCCCCAGATTTTGGTTATCGCACATGTAAAATACGACAACTCCTCTGCTCCAACACCTTGCATTGGTAGGGTTCTAACGACAGTTCACTGATTTTCAAATGTTGATCGCTACACCAGTGCCAAAGACTCCTTGGAGATTCTGATGGACCCTCATCTCACGGGTGATAGTCAACATCGTAATTGATCCATTCGAAAGGAAGCGGGGGGGGGTTGTATTCGAAAATTCATAAGTCATCCTACTACGTTACACCACAATTTTCAATTAGGATATTTCCAACACATTTCCTTTCGATTTTTCCATTGAACATAATCTAACTTACTATAAATCAACTTCAGGATCTTGGCTCCCCTTCCTTTCTCCTAACCCGCCGCACCCCTCCTTCTAACACCTGTTTCATGAATTCACGAAGATTATATGCAGTTCCCGTGTGTTCTCCTTTAGATCCTATAATCCTAACCATAGCAAATCCGACGTCGGCTTTCTTGAGAGCAGGTCCATCATTCGTCCCGTCTCCGGTTACCGCGACCACCTCACGTGCCTCAGATATACGAGAATCGATAATGCCCTGAAGTGAAGACAATTGATCACTATCGAGCACATCTTGAGGAGCCGATCCGCATAAGCCTGCAAATGGTATACCTTGACAAGAGTGTACTTATCCGATGGTTGAGCACGGGCCAAAACACGGAGTTTGGGCCAGATCTGATCCAACTTATCCTGTGACACCTCACCATTCTCGTCGCGTATTCTAAAAAAGATAACATTATAGGGGGAAGTTTCTACCCTCAATGCCTACTGCCCTGTTTCTTATCACAAACATTTTCGCTGAGTCTATCACAGCTTCATTTTTCGCATTTTATAGCGCCTCTTATTGCAGCATTCCAGTTTCACTCCGGATTCCCCTACAAGACACAAATCCCCGTTCACTATGTGGATAACCTGCGCCTGCCAGTTGAGGCAGCATATCCCCGTTTTATTGAAGCAGTGGGGAGAGACAACAGCCATGAGAACAATTGTGCCGTAGTCTGCGAAGGCACTCTTTTTCTTTCAAGGAGAATCGATTCGCATTTCAGCACAGCGCCGGTGGTCAATGGTTTGGCTGAAAGCTTTTGAAATACGCCTTTTCTACTAGGATAAGGGAGGGGGGGGGCAAACTATGATCAACTGTCTGGGCAGGCAGTACACCTAGAAATAAATGAAACACAACTGCTCCTACCCAAGCTGAGGGTTACAGAAACGCATGCCAGTAAGCGGAGACTGATGTGGGCGGTATTGTAAGATAAGTAGGCATTGTAATGACACCGCATCCAGAACCACGTGAAACATCTCCCTTCTGTTAAAAGCGAAAATAAGCCTCAGGTGGGAAAAGAGAGAATCCAAGATACGTAAGCAATTTTCACTTTCGCAAAGTTCCTACCCCCTCCCAGGCTTATTCCTGTAAAATGCCCCTGTATCTTGCGATAGCGCTCTGAAAATGTTCAAACGTTCTCAGAATTTTTCAAGACGTACAAAACGTCAAAATTCAATGGTCTAGAGTCACAAGTATGGTGAAGTTAGTATGAAGCTTGATCAATGTTGAAATTTGTAACTTTTCAATTTCGGGGACCTGCATGAATTAATTCCTTTTCTCATAGTTCATTTCGAAGAGGCTGAAGCAGCTAGTAGTCAGTGTCAGTCTTTTATCAATTCTTAAGATTACATGCAGAACAATTGATTACATTTGTGTAATCAGCGTTGGACGCTAAATTGCGGTACAGTTTTAAAACGAACTGCTCGTTAGAAATATTGCTTAAAAGCGCTCAAAGCACACTTTCACCCTCGAATTACTAACAACCCTGACATCAGATCACTCAAACGCTTTGGAACTAATTGTACTGCAACCATGGAACAACGACCGCTTGGATGGCCAACACAACGACAGCAATTCATTTTGCCCTCGTAGCGTAAATTGCAGCAAACGGAAAATTGACTAATCGTAGTGGCCAACTAGCTCCAATTCATTAGCCTTCGCCGCCATGCTCGTCAGGGTACGGCAATACTGATGTTTTTAGCCTCAGTCGTAGAGACCATTCCAGTATCTCTGAGCGAATCCAAACTTGAAATATTGAGTAGATGCGCTTCCCGCTTTTTTGCGGGCCCTGAATGTCCGGAACTTCCTCCTATGCACGGAACAGCCTTTATACCTCTTAATAGGCGACGGACGGATAGCACACTGGGGAGTTGTTACGAAAACAGATGCATTTCGATTTTTGACAGCAGTACGGATTCCGCACCCATTTCCAATGAAGCACACTTCGTAACTGCGTAATGTGACTCACTTACGACGTTCCGTGTTATTTCTCTGCGCATTTTGAATACCTCGAAGCCTGCAGACTTCAAAAAGCTGTGCTGTACTTTCATGCTTCACAATTATCATAACAAATGAATGTGCTGCATTCGACCATAATTACGACCAATAACAAATTGACATCGAATGCTCATTGCTATAAACTTCAAAATGGTCAATCAGGTGTTATGAGAAAAGAAGTGAACTCATGCAGTTCTTCAGGAATAGAATATCTCCCAACCCTACACTTGAGACAGGAAGATTCGCTTTATCAATTTCATCCAATCCACTGTAACAGCCTCGTGACTTTAGGAGTACCCGACAGGAGGCCCAGGCGCGACAAGAAGGTAGAGACGCAGGATCGACGAACGAGTAATAGAGCGTATTGCGCGGTTTGTGATGCACTTAACAGTACATCCTATTTAAGTTGACGCTGAATCGCTACAGTAGGCGCTGCGACTCGTCCTACTGATCCGTCTGCGCGTCTGCTTTTTTGCCGGCGACGGGCCTCCTGTCGGGTACCCGACTCTATAACACTAAAATAAGCTTCAGCTTCGCATAAATTCACAATAGGATTTCAAGAATAAGCGTTGAAATCAAGGATTCAATAAGCGCCTAAGTAATGTACAACACGTCGCTACAAACCTTGCATTGAATTCCTTGCCCTCAAGAGCGATGAAATCCTCTCCGGGTTTCAGAATACCACAAGCCGTTGCGATAGAGCGTGCTGTGTTGATGTTGTCACCAGTGACCATGCGGACAGTGATACCCGCTTCCTGGCACTTTAAAATGGCAGCTGGTACTTCTGCAATAAATTAAAATACTATACTAATGAGGCAGTGGGTGAAATTGCTACCGAAATTCTCACGGAGAGCAGATTTCTGGGAATGGACAAAACAATAAGAAAAACTATGAAATGCAGGTACTAATTACTTTGGCTGACGCACAAGCCGCCATTATAGCTTGCAACCATTGCAAATGACTTGTAGATCGACATGGAGCGAAAATATCTACCAAGCGATAGCGCGATCGCTAACGCCGCGACGCACCTAGCATGTGGCGCGTTTGCGGTCGGTTGCCTAGGTTCCGCACGTTACTCGCCCATTTCAAATGCGTCTTTTGGAGCCTACTTCATCGACCTAATTTTTGCTGATGCATAGGGGATATCGAAAGTTCTTCATAAGGGTTTTCTTCAAAAGTGCCCCGATTGCAGCAAAGCAACAGTAGGCGATTGGAGAAACACTCAATCTAATAGTGTCCAGCCACAGCTTTTTTCGAAGCGTGATGACCAGAAGGGATTGTCCGCGTCCCGTAAGCACGCTAGGGTGAGGTACCGCATGACGGTATCTGACAGGAGGCCCGTCGCGCGGCAAGAAGGCAGAGTCAGCGGACGAGTCGCAGCGCGTGATGTGCGATGTAGGACGTAATGGTACATTCTATTTAACTTGACGCGAAATCACTACAGTACGCGCTGCGACTCGTCCGCTGACTCTGCCTTCTTGCCGCGCGACGGGCCTCCTGTCGGGTACCCCCGATGACAGCACGACTTTGGGTGCGCAAGACGGGCCTCCTGTCGGGTACTCCACGACTAACGGGATCGCCAGCTAAGACCACGGACTACTAGTGTATAACAAAAACCAATTTCAGTGAGGAAAAACACAAACCAGGTCGAACAGGATCTTGAATTCCTACAATAGCAATGGCTGTCAGTTCGCTGAGAATAGCATCTTCGTTATCCCAGTCAATTTGACCAGTGTAAGCAATCTGAAGTAAAAACAGATATCCAGAGAATGCAAAAATCTAACAGAAATATTGAGAGCGCCTCACAAACCTGGTTTTCTCCCACATGTCCTCCTGCGGGTATATAATCTTTGTAGGCTAGACAAATCGTACGCAGACCATCTGACGCCATTGGTTCGATCACATTACGTACCAGAGCCTCCGCGTCTTTCGCTGTGAACTTGACCAGTTGACCGTTCTTGCCCAAGAACCATTTGCACCTGAGCAAACGAGGAGTTTTGAAGAAAAGGAATTAGGAAATTTCTGCAGATATAGTTGAGGTAACAGTACGGTTAATTCTAGAAGGGCCGTAAACAAAACATATCACACTGCCCACACAAAACCAACTCCCTACCAAATGCAGTAAAGATAGCGAGGCTAAAATAGCTCACTTCTTGATGATAACCTCCGATGCTCCTTTGCTGAACACTCGATAGCCACCACCAGGCCGATTAATGACCGTCGACATACTTTTACGCACAGAGTTGAATGTATACACCTACAACACATGCTCAAGTTTAGAAACTTAAAAACTACTAAAATTTCCTGTATAAAAAAATCAGAAAAAAAAGGAAAAATACCTTTGGAATGCTTTCTTCGGGGTTCTTGTCACGAATGTCCTGATAACTGGCGCCGAGAGCTAGAACAAAGCCCAACAAACCACATTCAGTCTTGTTACCTAATTGTGTTGCTTGCTCGCCCAATTGTTTCGCTGGTACCACCTAAATTGGTTTCAGTTGCACAAATTATGCGCTGGACACTATGGAATCCTTAATTCAAGGAATCATGACTGAATGGCCATTCAAAAAATGATTCTTCCGCGACACCAACCTGTGACGAGTAACTGCTGTTGATGGAAATGCAGTTCAGTAACAATTCCAACGTATCCTTATTCAGATTCTCCATCTTCGGTGTTTCCTTGTAATGCACGTCGTTGATGTACGACTGCACAACAGTCATTCGATTTGTGGTCAGAGTTCCGGTCTTATCCGAACAGATCGCCGTGGCGTTACCCATAGTTTCACACGCGTCCAAATGACGTACCAGGTTATTGTCCAGCATCATCTACAGCGACAACACTTACTTGAATAATATACGGCAAATCCTACTAAATCCCCACTCCCACGTCAGCCTTACATTTACAAAAAATCGAAACAAAAACAACTCAGCCGTGATTAAGATATAAGACGACGGCTGAGCCCTTCGCTTCACACTGAACTAGAACTAACCTTTTTGACGGAGTATGCAAGTGAAAGCGTGACAGCCAACGGCAATCCTTCAGGAACAGCGACTACAAGCACGGTAACACCGATGATGAGGAAATTGATGAAATGTTGAAAATCGGCCAATGAGAACGACTTCTCCTCAATAGCATACCGCGAGATACAGAATCGGATGACAAGAATTAAAACCGTGCAGCCAGCAACGAACGATCCTGAATACACAACAAAATAAGAAGTTGATTCTTACCAACAGAGCTTTTTTCTGACATTTTCTAATAAGGAGCATGCTTGCTAAACTGCGCTGCCACCACAGGGAGCATGAACCTGAGACTACAAAACCAAGGTCCATTTTCGCTGAGCAACCCAGTGAAGGCTAGAAAGTGGTGAAAAAATGGTTCGAGATTCGATTCCCGTGATGAAAACTATTTCAGATTTCAAGCTGGAGCTTTCAAATTTTCTCCAAACAGTGCCGGCGCTAATAGAAAGTGCCATATTCATTACTAGAACCGCTTTCGCTAAAATTCCATACATTACTATAACGCTGTTAAATACCCACTCCAAGTAAGTTTTTTCGATCCCGTTTTGGCCCCTAGGGACGTTCAGCGAAAATGAACCACAGTTCTGTAGTCTATGTGTAGCCTCTGCAGCATGCAAAAAACCACTTCAAAAAGCGCTCCACAGCCTAGAAGGTCCCCGTGGGAGAGGCTTTCGGGAGAAACCTGTGCTTGACGTTCCCTTCTGATGTGAGTATAATTTCAGAACTTGAGCCTATGCAATTCGACGAAAATTGTGAATGTGCGCTACGTTTACAGAATCCCCTCCATCTTTTCCTATCTAATTATTGGTCAAGAAAGCGCCTCTATTTTCGTGAGCTAATAGAACAGCTGGTTAAATTCCGTGATGAGATTCGTGAACAGAGTTTCCATAATTGGTAGTCGAGCCTCTTGCAAGATAGGTATTGGAGGCAGGGTCAGTCCTATCGTTGCTACTTTTCGAAAAGTTTTGACGAGCCTCCTCCTTCAGGAAAAGTTCCCTACGACCCCCCCCCCTTTCCCGTAATTTTTACTCCCCAAAAACATCAGTTCGGCGGGAGGCGGGAGTAGTATATTCCCTTAAAACGCAAAAAAGTTGCCTACTATTCTTGCAGTTTCCTTTCTAGGGGGGAGGGGATACGGCGCTGCAACAGCAAATTTTCTCTCCGCGCCGCTCCCCACTCATCACATGCCTCTTTACAACCTGAAGCAAGTACGACCCCCTCTACAAACTCACCAAAATACGACCCCCCGTTGCTACTTGTAGCAACATAGGGTTGACCCTGATTGGAGGTGCTTCACAAAGTAAAGCCGTAATCAAATGTTGCTACGTGCAGCAGCAATTGGACTACGTCATTAAGTGCACACTTCATTTTCTATGGGAAATTGGATGAATTCAGAACCCTGTTACCCCGCTTTCATCTGCTTGCATTTTTTCAATCCTGCTCCTGATGTAGAGCGGAAAAACACAAATAAATGCTCACCAGCATAACCGATCTGAATAGCCAGCCGAGTAAGCTTTGCTTGTAATACAGAGCGTTCTTTTTTGCCGTTCTCCTCGGCGACCACTTTGCCATTTGCCACACCATCAGCTCCATCAGCCTTAACATCTGAAACGCAAGACCATACAGAAAGTTGGACAAATGCCAATTTATTCAAGCAACACAATAATAGTTTACTCATAAGTCAGCGATAGTAAGGAAGCGAGAAAATAAGCGGTCTCCGTTTCGAAACCACGTTCTTGGTCTTCCCTCAAGAAATCAAGAACACAATAAATGAACCTAACTAGAGACAACCTTCGAATGGTTGGATATGGGTGTCAACATATAGTCTTTGAAGCCACAAGACGTTTAACATGGAGTTATAAGACAGACCAAGGACACAAATCCGAACTAGAGAAAGAAGTAATCTAAGCAATTGAGAAGAACACAAAGATTAAGTAGAAATTGTGCTGCGCATGTACACGTCGCAGTGCAGTATGGAAGAGCACACCACTACGACACGAACCGCATCACAAAGTACAGAAGCAGTCAAAGAACGCGAAATCGTCGTCGAATCATGCTCCCAAAATGCGTGGGGTTTGACGAAACGACGACTTCAGAGATGAGGAATAAGAGGGTCGACCATCGAGATGAAAACAGTACGAGCATTCGTAATTGGGTAACGGTTTACTCTTGACATGGGCTATTACACAGGGAGATATTCCATGTATTGACGAGAAAAGCGAAAATCCTGGTAGAGTAAACCGCCTCCTTAGGACAATTAAAACGGACAACTCACCCAGTAACGCCTGAGCGGTGCCCTCGTCGGTCTCCTGCACAGCATCACCTGAAACGACGAGAAGCTAAAACTACGTGTGGATAGATAGTGTGTGTGTGAGAGCATTGTCAATATATACAGGAAAGTGTGCAGGCCTGTATATGTGTGTGTGCATAGGGACGACACACACAAACACCTTCCCACACATAGCATTCCTTACCATCACTTCACATTTCGAAAGAAAAAAGAAGTAGGAAGAATAGTACAGGAAAATGAGCAGTCAATGCTGCCAGCAGTCAAACGGTGCACACAAGCACTGTGTTGCTCTTGAAGCGATGTCCAGTACTCGCCCGATATTCCTTGTCGATGGCTCAACATCCATCCGATGACCGAAATTTCATAGTGCCCGACTTGGACCGTCGCATAACCCTAACTCACCACGAACCTCATGCAATGTATGCCATGCTAGTGTAGACACTACTAACGAATATTTAGTGCTGACAAAATCGCAAACAGTGACAAGCTGCGGCCGTAAAATGTACAGCAATTCAGTGACGTAAATCAACAAAGAACAAATTGGAACACTGCAAAACTGCTGAGGATCACACGATTCTTTGCAAGGTTAGTACACTCTACGTCCTCTTTATTGAATACATAGAAAATCAGAAAAAATTATATCATTGGGTTTGCGCCATGAACTCGAACTGCACTATTGCCCTCTATATGAACAACACTTAAAAAACGCCAGCTTTACTTGTAATCGAGACTCATACGAAATTATTCTACTCAACATCATATTTGGGCGGACTACTTCAACACAATCCTAATGAGGATCAACTGCGACGTCGGAAAAATCTTCAAAAATTTCGACCCCCTTTCTCTACCACCACATGTGAGGGGTGTACCTACGAGCGACCCCCTTCCCACTTCTAACTCTTCACCCGATCGTTGGGGGGGGGGGGGGGGGTGTAAATATCATGGCAATAAACATCTAATTTCGGTCTTTTCATGCTTATTTTTCGAGATGTTTCGTACGAAGTTACCAAAAACGTAGTCAGAGCGACATTCCTCCTCCACTCTACAGGCAACAAACGCCTCCCCCCTCCCTCCCTCGAACATCCATCTCCAGAACCTTCCGAAAAAAGATCTCAATCCCTCATATCACTACCACCTACACACAAAAACCAAAACATTACCCCTCTCCCCCAAAGCCCTATTCCAAAAAAAAGACCCCCTCGCCGGTAAACCAACGGACAGTTGACCCCGACCACAATCAATACGCAAAAAATTAACAATAGGCGAAATTCCCCTCAACGAATGCAAACCTCAGAACCTTCTTAACAAACGGTCAAATCGATTTTCATTTGTTTCCTCGAGCGAAGAAATCGGCTCATTTGTCTCCTAATAGATGGCATAGCTGCTCGTTCGAACCGCTATTCATTTCTTTCCCGGCGAAATCTATACCACCACACTACTCGCTCGGCTATACCCACGAAATTTCACCGACAAGCCGGGTTTCTAGTATTGTTTCCTCTGAGAAATTAGTAATGCAATTCGCACTAAAGTGTCTCCGAAGATGTTCTGCAGGAGCCTTGGATAAAATTAACGCGATGTATGTAGCCAGGAGTTGCTTTTTTGAGTAAAATTAAGCGGCATTGTTGAATCCCACACACCTCTGATAGACTTTTGAGCGCCCGTAAAAATCTAGAATTCAAATGCGAAAATTTCACGCACAATCACAAATGAGAATTTGGCGTTGCTGAATTGCTGCAGGGTTCAAAAATGAGAAATTGACTAGAACCGATCATTGGTCAGTTGATTCATTTAAGTGCTTCCTAGTCCTCATAGCGAGAAGAACGAAAAGATGACAGTTGAAAAAAGGAAAGGGTAGAAGAGATAGACAGAGAAAAATAGTGGAAATGAGGACAAGTGAATGACCAGATAAAGGCAACAAATGAATAGTTCACCAACGGACGCACATACACCAGCAATGAAGGGAGACGACAGAAGGAGAGCTGTTGCTTCTGTTAGCTAATGTCGCCAATGTCACCAGCTCTCCTCCTTCGACTTGCGAATTTGCTGACGCTCACCTATGCCGGACTGCGACTTGCTCTTGGTTAACGAGCGAGAGCGACGTTCTAAACCGACTAATCGCTCTTTTTTCGAATATTTCTTATAAATTCGAATAGAAAAAGCAAATTCATTTATGTTCAGAGCTCATCAAAAGAAAAGATTCCTCATAAAGAGGTGACCAAATATTTTTTTCGTGAGGGGATTCATGTTTTTGTTCTTGAAACATTGGAAGTGAATTTGACCTACAACGGTCACGGCTAAATCTTTCGATATTGAGAGGAAATATTTTCACTAGAAACTTCTTTCATTTCAAAGCAAAGATATATATTCGAGCTTGCGCTGCGCGTGAACTAACCAGGAAAGGATGGTGGGCCGAAGTGGCCACATGCAATGAGACCTGCACTGTTAGATGTGTTTTCGGACGCTAATCTCGACCCTGCCTTCCAATTTCGCCAGTCGAACTTGAGCGAAGCTATGAAGAACAATAGAGCGGCGGTGGTGGTCCAGGCTCACCAGCGAGAGGTCGTGGGATCGATCCCCTGACGAGTTCTCCCAGTTGCCTTTGCTAACATGGTTGAAAAAGGCTCCCAACTACGCTACTGTATTAAAGCTTGTCTATAGTTACCGTGCAGTTTGCGGGGAGATCCAACAAGTTTGGGCGCTACTTGCTAAT